AAGGACGGGCAGGATAACCGAGTATCGAGCACCCCAATAAAACTGTGTGAAACTTACATGCTAGACGCAGTTTTTCACGCTCTATTCACTGGTATTAAATTAAAAATCGAAAAAGGTATGGAACGTTCTTGAAAACACTAATTATTGGCCGATTTTTAAAACCTGCAAACTATCAATTGGACTGACCTTAACCAACCTTCAGTTTTAGGCACTCGACTCCACGAAATGTTTACTTTTTCTAACTTTAAATCCCATGTTCGTGATCAGCGCAAAATTCTGAGTCAGAGAAGGTGTGTTTCGAAAATTTTAGAGGAAAAAATGTTTTCGATGTTCCAAGGTGGGACCTTTGCCCTTAAATTTTTCGATAAAAATCAAAATGCGATTTTTGGAAAAGTAGGACGGCTAAAATACTCAGAATTTTACGCTGATTCCGAATATGTAAGTTTCATTGAGTTTTATTGGGGTGCTCGATACTCGCTTATCCTTCCCGTCCTTTACGTTTAGTAGTAGAGAATGTGTGAGCAAACGTGAAATTATAGCGTGATATAAGTCTTGCGGGCCTCTCGCCGACCGCCTGCCGAGCTATGATAGTATTCATAGTAGCTGTAATCGTGGCAGACGGTTTCGGTCTTGCCGAAGGACCTCCTCAGGGGGCTTCGTACAAGATATTGCATGATAATCTTACAAACTATCGAAATTCAAGAAATAATTGAAACTTTTCGTTTTATACTGCATATATTTTTGAATTCTGCCGCATCCGGTGATTCAGATTTTATTTTTGCAGTTGCATGCACTAGTAAGCGCAATTATAATTGAATTCCATTTGGCCATAACAAAAACGTAATTATTTTTCTTCTAGATAAGAAACAGAAGTCTCTTTGAGGAATATTTTATTATCCATGTATGCACAGTATGGTAATACTTGAAAATGTTGAGGTATAAGGTCGTACTTTGCACAAAAGATTTTTGAATCACGTTTCCAGTTTAAAGAAAGGTCAATATATACGGAAGTTACTGTGAAAGTTTTTCATTGTTGAGATAACGTCACTTGAAATTTTGATACGTGTCCGGCAAATGGACACCTGGTGACTGCGTTTGAATTTTGAAGATCCAAAATGTGAAATCAGAATTTTAAAACCTTTCTTCATTGCAGAAAAAAGCTTTCCACCTTAAGGGCTTATTCTAGGACCATAGAAACATAGGCCTATCTCCGTACGTAAGAGTCCAGTTGGGAGAAACGAAATTGGTTAATGCGAGGTGGGGTCCTAGCTACGCTTTTACAATATTAAAATGCCCCTTTAGGGGGGTGGCAGATTTCTGACCTTAACGCGCGGGGTCCTTTTTTTGCTATGGCGATACTTTTTCATCTCGCAGTAGGAATAGTAAAAGTTTGCCACAATACCGCTCTGCATGATGAGTAGATTGTGATTACGATACTTTTTTCTTCTTTTCTGCACAGTGGAACGATAAGGGGAATAAGGAAAAAGGCAGAAAAAATGTGTTTGAAGTAGGAGAGGTTGTACGATAATAAAAAAACAGAAAAACAAACACATTTTTCAAATTTTACTTTCTTCTGCTCACAGAATTTTAGCGTAATTGTGTTACTGAGTAAAAGTGTTTTAACGTTTTGGCCTGTATGGCATCTGGGAGAAAGCACGTAATGCTTTCCTATCAATGGGATAGCCAAGACATTGTCATCAGAGTTTATGATAAATTGAGCGCATAACATTGAAGTTTGGATGGATGTGAGAGGTGGAATGAGAACAAATCTGTGGGAAGCGTGAGTAAAGTTTGATTTCTCTTTTTCAGAGAGTGGTAATAGAAACAGGAAATTCGCCTTTATTTCGCGTTGGAGAAGAGATTAGATGCTCAAACTAATAAACTTTCTACCGAAAAATCGATATTTGTTTTGCTTGAAAAGATATTATGAAAGTTGAAACGTCTATCGCTTCTCAAACTTTGTTCGAGAACAAAGCTTTTGAACAGCTTTTTCTTTAGTTGACGATGAGCTTTATTCATCATCCCTTTCTATGTTTAAACCCCAGTCTGTCTGACGCTGTGGAAAATGCAGCTGCTGTCTGTTGTTTCCTAACACCGCAATATCAGTCATCGAAGAATTGTTTACGAGAGCTGCAGTATGCAGTTGATCGCAACCTATTGATTGTACCATGTCGCCTATGTAACGATTGGAAACCATCTGGTGCGTTAGGCCTGCTCACTGCTGGAATGGTATGGCTTGACTTTCGTGATACAGCAGTAGGTCCTTTTGATACAGCTATGGAAAAATTAATTGATCATATACAGATGCATGTCTATAACGAGGAACCCGTGTTTTTTCCAGGTATGTTAGAGAACTGTAACTGCTTTATTCAAGTGAAAAAAGACGGAAAAGACACATCCTTTTAAAGCACGAACTTGGCTGACTGCATTTGAGGTTTAGTCTTTGAATAGCGCAAAGTAGTTTCTCGAGTACTCGTGGTTAAAACAGAAGACGGTTTCTCAACGGTGTCCATAGCATTCCAGTTTCCAAGGAAGAATAGATGTTTTTTGTCTACTGTGTCTAAATGAATCTTTGTCGAAGAATTTTAAAGGAAAAAGAAGAACAAAGCCGTTAAGGTTTCTTCATTCGTTTCTAGAAAATAGACCCTACAATCGCCCTCGGCCTGTCCGAACCACTCACGATGAACAGGACGAAGACTCGGACCATCCCGGAGCTGCTCCTCTATGTCGAAGAACAACGACAACAATTAACGCAGTTCTAGAAGAATTCGTCTCCCTTGACAATGGCAACGATACGGATAATAATGATATAAACGACGATGATTTGAGCTCAACTCTTTCTGACCTCGTTCTACAGCATACTTCTAATGAATCGACTGGGACCAATAATCCGGAGCGGTATAGCGACGCACACCAAGAACCACAGATTCAACTATCACCATTACAAGGCTATGAAAACGTTCCGCTCGTCAGCCTTGAAAAAGCTGTTCATCCGTTGGAACCACTCATAAAAAATCTACCGAGTTTCGTTTGGGTGGCTAAATCAAATTCTAAAGAACCAAAAGATGGATTAACTCAAGATGAATCAGCATCGATCTATCTCTATTCCATGGAATGTCTCTACACTCTTTTGAATGCAGCTCTTCGCAGCGAAAATCGTAATAAATTGATTTCATTCTACTACTATTTGAAACTCTTTCTAACGGCATTATGGAAACTACCGTCTATCAAGTGTGTAGTATGGAGAGGTATCAAAGGACAGATTGGCGATAAGTTTCCGACAGGAGAAAAATTTATCTGGTGGGGAATTTCTTCATGTGCTCAGTCAATTGATATACTGGAATCAGATCAATTTCTGGGTAAAACTGGCGCCAGAACACTCTTTAGTATTGAATCTATCAATGGAAAGTCAATACGAAATCATTCACACTTTCCTGCTGAAGATGAAGTTCTACTGATGCCAGCTAGTTATTTTCAAGTTGTTGGAAGAATAGATTCAGGTCACAGCCTCACAATTATTCATATTAAACAGATTGAACCACCGGTTCCTCTTCTCTCTCCTCCGTCATCCTCAATGAGATTATTAGTGTTAGTAATCGTTTTTTGTTTATTCTTATATGAAAATAAGGAGTTTCATTTTTTCTATCTTTACAGTCCTCCAACCACCGATCAGCAACCAGTGCTTGACCATTCATATAATGATATCTCCGATGATAGTGAAACATCCTCGTCTACTCAGCCTGATACCGCTTCCAACAGTACGCCAAGACGTATCATGCCGAGAGTCACGAGTCAGGACTTACTTCGTACAGCTGCTCCTCGACCAAAAGATGAATTATATAAAATGATTCTATCGTTACGCAGCAATGTTACAGTCGATCTATCAAATAAACAACTGTACGATGATGATTTAAAAATGATTGCAGAAGAATTGAGAGTCAATCGGAAATGTACAAGCCTAACGTTGAACTCCAACAATTTTACTGATGACGGTATAAAAACTTTGTGTCATGCTCTGAGAGGACAGACGAATAAGATACTGAAAACTCTCGTACTTTCATCAAATAATATATCAGACACATGTGTTCAACATCTGGCTACTATGTTAAAAACGAACACCACCCTACAAACTTTAGATCTAAGTGAAAATGAAATCGGTGATTCAGGTATGGATCAATTAACCACCGCTTTGAAAATGAACAACAGTCTAAGCCGTCTCTATCTTAATAATAATCTAATCACCGATGATGGAATTCGTCATCTGCTACAACTTCTAAGACGAAATAATACTCTGACACTAGTAAATCTTAGTGACAATCAGTTTTCAAGAGAATTTAAACGAAATTTTGTTGAAGAACTATCGAAGGGTCACCAATCATCAAAGACTGTACTTCTGTAAGGCCTGTTAGTGGGCAACCACGTGGAAATTAGGTGAAATTCTATAACAAACAAGCGAGACAATCATTTGCACCGTTCAGCAAATTGTCAAATCAGCGACGATTGCCGGTAAAAACTTTGACAACGTTAACTAATTTAAATAAATGTAAATGATTGTTGTACCGCTAAAAATCAATAGACTTTCTTATGCATATTCAACAGCACTTCTAAGTCTTCTGTGCATTTTTAACAAAATTACCTTAGAAATTTGCTCTTGAAGGGAAAATCGAAAATACCTTAGTAATCTGTAAACCTTGTGATGTGTATATTGAATGTTACACACTTACTTGCTTGTGCGTGAACAACAAGAGCAAACGAACAAACTTTCTTCTGTATATATACAGACAGATGATTTGTTGCTTCAGTAACTATAAATGCAAAACGCTTGATTGTTATCCTACAGGGGCGTTTTACTTGCTGCCATTTCCACTGGAGCTAGTACCATCAATTATCTTTTTGTTTATAGATTTACTGTTTAGAAATATCTTCAAGTATATACCCATGCACGAATATTAGTACAGTTTTCTGACAGTTACTGAACTGAAGTTCGCTGAAGAATCGCTGTAATACGTATGGTTTAGATAAGTCGACACCTGTATGTTGAAGCAGCCAACACATACGTCTCTGTCCCGGCATGCACCGAGACTGATACTCTCTATGTCGAAGGTATTGGTCTCGGATAGCATCGACATAGAGTGATATTGGTATTGAATAGTATTGAAAAAGGTTCTTACCATACTATTCCACATTCAACTCCCTATCTGTAAACGAGGACAGACTAAAAGACAGGCGAACACAGCTTTAAACTTCATTTCAGAATAGTTTACTTCCTAAAATTTATGAGCAGACAAAGCTTTACACCTATAGTTACAGTTAACTTTGCCGTGGGAAAACAAGCAGAAAATTAGAGAAGGCTGTTTTGATAGTAAAGTTCATCTGTTGAGACTCGCTTTATATGAGCATGTAGCCCTTAATTAGGAGAATACTTTTTGTTACAGGATCATATAATGATTTTTACTTCGGGTAGCAACCACAACTTTTTTTCTGACGATAGATAAAAACGCCATGTATTTGAATAGAGCTGGCATCGATAGGAACAAAATCGCTTGACTGTTATATTTGAAAACAGTTTCTATTAATAGCAGGACATTCAGTTTGCTGTGTGGCGCAGATGAAGGAGAAAACCCGATCTGTTCTCAATAAAAATAGTATCATTCGATTCCACTTGATCAGAGGAATATTTCTGTATACTTTATTTTTAAAAAATTTTAATTTTGTCCGTCAAAAAAACGTTTTTTCTTCGAGGATATAAAAAAAGCCGCGTATTTGAATGACGTGCCATCAACAAGAATAAAAAATAGCTTGACCGTCATATTTGAGAACACGACAGTAAAAGAATCGAACGTGCTTCTTCTTTTAAGGGGGGGGGGGGGGGGGGGGGGGGGGGGGGGGGGGGGGGGGGGGGGGGGGGGGGGGGGGGGGGGGGGGGGGGGGGG